GAAGGCCGCCTGCCCAACAGCGGCCGCTGTTGGTTTGGGACAGCAATGGCTGTTGGGCATTGTACCCATTCTTTCCGTGCCCATTTCGGGCGTCCAAAGCTGTGGTCCTTTCCCCCCCTGGGGGAGCCATCGATTTCGACACCCCGAGCGATCGTCGATGCGATGGGCTCCCCCCAGGGGGTAAGGGCCACAGCTCCCCCAGTAATGGCCGGTCGGCTCTCCTCCTGGCTCGGCGTCTGCGGGTGAGGGCTCCGCGCCGCGCGCGCACTCCTTCGCCTCCTCGGCAGTCTGCCCCTTTTTCTTTGCTCCTTATTCTCATTCCTGTGCTTCGGATTCGCATGCTTCCCCGGCTTCCTGCTGTTGCTCTCCTCCTGAATGGCTTTCTTCGCCTTCTTATCCGACATGTGTCTCCTCCTTTCCTTTTTCTCCCGCCCCGCCGAGTCGAGGAATCCGCCCGGAGGAGGTGGAGAGCGTAAGGGTGACCCGACAGCACATCCCCCGCAAGACAAGCGCCATCATCGCGCGGGCTCGACGTGTCGAAGGAACGTGCTGCACCCACGCCGAGGCCCTCGGCGTCGCAGTCTCTTCGCGCCGAGCCTCTTCGCCCGGAATTGGGGCCCCTGGGGCCCTCGCGGATCGACACGGCCCGAGAAGTGCCGCAGGAAGTTCGGGCCTTGGGGGGCCCCGGTCGCGATTGTTGCGCGATGTTTTTTTTTCCCCCCTTCCCCCCCCGAGGGGCGGTTTCTGTTGTTGGTGTGTGTGTGTGTTGTTGGTTTGTGTGTGTGGTTCTCGCGGAGTCGGATCTCAGGGCAGCCGAGCTCACTCGGGGGCAGGGCGGGTAGCCGAGGCTGGAGCTGCTGGCGGAGTAGCTTCGCGAGGAGCGGCCCACAGCATTGCTCCTGTAAGTCTGGCCTTGCCTGGCGGGTTTTGACGTCTTAGTTCGGGCCGCTGTTAGCTAGGGCATCGCCGAGTAATATGTTCTGTATCACAACGTAAGCTTGGCGTTGTCAGGCGTGGTCTTGCTTCCGTCAGCTGACACCTGGGGTCGGATCGACCGACGACGCTCCAAATCTTCCGAAAGTTCAGGTCTGAAACCATCTGGAGACGGGGAAAGCATGCGATTACACCAGAATCGGGATCGGAGCTCAAGTGAGCAAACAACGACATTTGGGTATTGATAATTGACGCCTTCTGATATTCAGCCTCAGTGACAACACGAGGTTATGGATTTGGAAGTGATTGGGCGGTATGGTACACTTACCGCCGCCATTCCTGGGTGAAGACTCTTCCTGCTCCCGCGATGCACTCGATGAAGGTTCTGTCTGCACAGTGGGTGCATCGTTTGGAAGAGATGCTGGGTCCCTCGCGGCGAGACGGAGCATCCTGACCGCAAAGTCATGTTCGCCAGAAAACGACGCAGACATCGGGAGGGAAGCGGGGTCCCTGATTGTTTGTTTCAAAGCGTGGCTCCCAAGAGGTCTGGACCCCCCTCCTCCCTAATCGATTTTTTCTGATAGGCCTGGTTTCCACCACCACCACCACAAGCTGTAGGGGGAGGGGGTCCTCCTCCTCCACCTCCTCCTCCTCCTCCTCCTTTTCGTTCTCCTTCTCGTCCTCCTCCTTCCCCCCTCCAACTCATGGTGGTGGTGGTGGTGGAAAACAGGCCCATCATTTTCGTCCCGAGCTGTTTTTGATGGCCCTGGGGCCCGGTGATCGGCCTCCAGCGGCCCGTCGTGCTTTCTTGGAGCAGGGCCAGTTGGGACAATGACGGCGCTCCCGCCTGGCCCAGGTCCGTTCAAAGTCGGTCCCTGTAGGGCCCTCTGAGATCCTTCAGCTCAGCGATCTGGCCCCTGGGCGTCTCCCTGGCGACTGGGGAGGCGAGGAGTACTGACATGGAGACGCCTCCCCAGATCAGAAATCCTCGCCTCCCCAGTCGCCATGGAGGCCCAGGGGCCAGATCGCTGAACTGAAGGATCAAGGGGGCGACGGGTCCCGTTTCCATGGGAAATCTCGGATTCCCGCCGCCGGACGTCGGCGGCACCGGCCGCATTTTCGGGAGGGCACCTTTCCCGATCCATGGCTCTGGCGACCGCGCGCCAAATCCATGGACTGCCAATCCATGTCTGCGCGCCCCCGACGCGTGCGGCCGGCCTCGCGCTCGGCGCCCCCCCAAGCCCAGGAGTCCAGGGACGTCTCCGGCCTGACCTGGCACGAGCCGAAGTCGCACCCCCGCCACATCTACCGGGAGTCCGTCCCGCTGGGCCCCGCGCTCGGCACGAGCGAATTGGCTACGGAAAGAATGGGCACAAGGCCCAAGAGCAGTTCCTGCTCATTCTGAAAATTTTGGAGCCCCTGGGGCCCTCTGGGCCTCGTGAGGGGTGCTCCAGAGGCCGGTGGGGGCCTCCCTGGAGAAATCCTGGGTGCACCTTGGGCCAGGGGTACCTCTAGCACCCCCCGAGCACTTCCAAGGGTGTCCCTGCATCCTTTCCTCGGGACGACCTACATGGGTACGGAAAGAATGGGTGCAACGCCCAACAGCAGTTCCTGTTCATTCTGAACAGGGCTCGCTGGCGGTGTCGCCGCGGCCCGTGTCCACTTGAGGCAGAGGGCCGCCTGCCCAACAGTGGCCGCTGCTGGCTTGGGGCAGCAGCTGTGGTGGGGCATCGTGCCCACTCTTTCCGTGCCCCTTTCGGGCGTCCAGACGCGCGCCCACTGCTCCCGAGGCCGGCCTCTCCTTCTCTGGCGGCCCTCGGTCCCTCTGGCGGTGCCCTCTTGGCCCGTTTCGGGGGGCCCCTCCATGGGGCACGCCGGAGGCCATGGGAGCCTTGAGAACCTGTCGGAGGCGACGCGAGGGGCGAACAGCCCAGGGGAGAGCAATACTCAGGAGGGAAAGAAACAAACAAACAGGCACAATGAATCGTCGACTCCCAGGAAACATGTGGGAAAACATGGGAAGTGGGGGGGCAAGACGAAAACCCAGAAAATATAGATATGGGGAATCCTGTTCTTTGTGTCTACTTATTTGTGTGTCCCTGGGCCCCTTTAAATACACTACACGTATCCAGCGGCGCCGATGGTACATGCCTTCGGTGAGGCTCCCAGGCGAATGCCTGCAACGCCCGCCCCTCGTGCCTCGCGGCACGGTGGCAGACCCTGGGTCAGAGGATCCGAATCTCTTGGGATGGTGGCTGGAGGCTCCAGCCACCATTCTTAGACCAGACCGCATATGCACAGATCGTCATCATATGTGTTTCAACGTCTGTTTACTGACCCTCTCTGTATAGTAACAGACCCACGTTGGAATTCAAGCTGGAGCGTTGGTGGCTGCGCCGATGCGCAGAAACTGTTTGCAGAATCGAAGTCTGAGCCCGAGATTTCCAACCACGAGCTCGTGATGCCAGATGGTGGTCCGCGGGGCGGGGGTCCCGCGTGGACCGCCTGCGAAAAGCGAGACACGGGCCACCGCGTCGTTCATTTCACAGAGGGGAGCTGGAAGTACGGATGCGGCGCGTTCCAGAACGGGCCGCGCCTTCCCACGACTCCTCTCGTTGCGACAGAATCAAGACCGAAGGTTTTGCCAAAATCTTGCCCCTGGGGGCTTTCCGTCGCCATTTTGGTTCAACTCATTTTGGCTCAAGATTTCTGGACTGAAGGCCCAGGACATTCCAATGGGAGCCATCAGCATTGACGGGCTCCTCTTCTAGTAGAAAAGTCCTCGGGGTGCTTGACATGAGAACCGTTCTTGATAAGAGGACTAGCTCTTTTTCCCAGGAAGTTCCTGCTATCTTATGTTCCCAGTGGTTTGGATAGAAGCATGGCCGCTTGCAGATCTTGGAGCATCTGTGGCGTACGGCTTCAGTTCGAGATTGGGCAGGGCGTTGTGATCCAGATATTGCTCGCTTCGGGCTCATGCACCACTACTGCACACATGCACGCATCGAGATGATGCGTTGTCCGGATCTTTGTTCGAGACTTCTGTGTTGCCCCATACTTGTGTTGCTACATCGGCGTGCCACGCGTGCACCCTATCAAAAGTGAACCAGCAATGACGAGGACTCATTTCAGAGAGAGTTGCCCGCAAAGTATGGGGGGATGTGTTTCCAGATTCTCTCATTGAAGATCCACCGCTCGGGGTGTGTATTCATGTGATGAGACGGGCTAGGCATCAAGTCGAGCAGGACTGGATTAGCGATGGCAAATCCGTTCAGCGCGAGAGTGCGCAGTTATGTTCCTTTTCAACGGGCCGGTGGCGGTGTCAGTTTCACCGCGTGTTGGTTGGCTATACCCCAGATCGCTTGTTGTTCATGCGGCGCGATTGCAAGTTTGGTGTCTCATCGGCTGGTGGGCGTACAGCTTCTGTTGGGTACATCGTCTGTTGACGCAGCAGCTGTGCTGTGGACGATTGCTGTGGAGGTACGTTGGACATCCTGGCCCAGCTGGGTCCAGGCGAGAATCAATGCCAACTCGTAGCGACTGTAGGCATCGAAGATGACCGTGCCATCCCAGCGATTCGGACATACACGGTGGTGACGCAGGGCAATGTGGCACTCGAATCTCACGAGCATAATTCAGTCACGCGCATTGCGCCCTCACCACGCTGCTTGCGCACACAGGGTGTCGTCCAAGAGGTACACCGCACGGTGCATCCGAAAGGCAAGTTTCACGACCCGCTCAGCGTGTTTTGTTCTTGCGACTGGCTCCGGGCTAGGCTTCGCGCACAGGGTGTAGGCATACTCGCCTGGCATGGGAGAAGCGTCGCCAGGGTCAGAGGTGCCAATCTCTCTGCCCTGAAGTTCGACGAGGTCGACGAACTCGTGGTGGCCACTGACATCCCTGACTGGGCTGCGTGCCCCCAAATACACAGCGGAAATAGACGGATCGCATCGGGGGCGGGGTAAGGATCTCTGCATCTGGCTCTGCTTTTTGTGCGCTAGCGCACAGAAAGGTGTTCAATATTCGGAGAGCGCGCTGTCTGTTATCATGGCGAAACTTGTTTCTAATCAGGTGGCGAGTGCTTGGCGGAGGTGCGCTACACAGGCGCCGCAGATTCAGAAGAACGATTCGAAAGTTTGAGCCATCTTCCCAAACGCAAATACCAGGCAAACAACACCACCAACAGCAACGACAACAACAACAACAGCCACAACACCACCACCACCAGTGTCAACACCAACAGCAACAACCATAACACCAACAACAACAACCACATTAGCAACAACATCAACAACATCAAGACCAACAGCACCAACAACAATTGCCCTTGGGGGCCCAACCGAGCCCCAGCGCCGTCAACGAACGGCTCAGGACGAAAAGCCGGTCGCGGGGAAGGGGTCCAGAATTTTGGGCGGGCGCTGGGGGTGGCCCGAAAGGGGGGCGAAGAAGAGAGCCCTCAACGTGCCCTTTAGGGCCCCTTCTGCAGCCAGCAGGGGTGCCCACAACGGGGCCCTCAAGGGCCCCTGGTAGGGCCCTTTTCTTCACCCCTCACGGGGGCCCCCGCCCATCAGTCATATAGTCAATGGTACGTATACAACTAGTGCCAGAAAGCAGGGGCCACAAGTGCGGCCGCAAGGGCAGCCATATCCACAAGGATTTGTGCTTTCATCGAGGCCTCTCACGGCAGCCTGTACTTCTGTTTCAATGCAGGCTTCCCCCATGTTTCCGCGCAGTGGAAGATATATGTCCCCCTTGTCTCGGGCGGGTGCTACTGTGGCACCCGCCCGAGAATCCCGCAGGGCCCACGCAGCGAACAACAATGGCACGACGCCGGAGGTCCGGAGCCACGGACATGGCGCGTCCCAGCAAGGGCCTCGCTTCCGGCGCGTCAGGCCTCGGAAAAAGACAGCGGACGCTCATGCCGCATTTATCTGTCAACGCCTCTCCCTCCCCCCAGTGTTCAAAGTTGGCGGTGGGTCTGATGAGTTGCGCCTCGTCCGCGCAGTCTCCCCCGCGCGTGCCATTTTTGAGTTTGACGGGGAGGGGGAGTGTTCAGTGATTGTGTCTGGCAGGCGGAAGATCTCGCAGGCAGCTTCTGGCCCCGGGTCGCCGAGCTTCCCTGAACAATCGAGCAGTGGCGAAGCGTCCAGGCTTGCTCATAGGCCCACCAAAGAGTATTCTGAGAACCTTATGTGGTCTGCGCGAAATGTTCTAGTATGATTTCTGACGGAGACTATCTTGTCCTAGCACATCGTGTGTATGTTCCAAGAACATTTTCTTTTGTTATGAGAACCTTCTTGAGTTCTAAGAACATCTCGTGGTAGTCCTATAGGAATGCCGGGTCGATCGGTCCCTGTTTAACAGACGAGAAGGGAAGTTCGGAGATGTACCCGCGCGGGGCTATTTGGAAGCACCCTTTTCGAGGATGGACGCCGCCCCCAATCTTGCACCCTGCGAAGAACAGGTACGGCTCACCATTAGGGGGATCACCAGGTCCTCTTCGGAATCGAGGGTCGAGGAGGAGAAGGAGCAGGGAGGGTGGACGGCCTACGGGAGGGTTGGTTCTGAGGGGTCGAGGGGGGTCCGTTTCCTGGAACAAGTGGTGACCCCCTCAGTGGTGACCCCCCCTTGACATGAGCGTGTTTCTTTATTGCTTGGGGCATAATTGGGATGATAGCCCCTGGCCCCTCCCTATAAAGTAACGCCCCTCTCACCCCAGTGCGCTCCGGGCACTGCCGCCGTGCGCATCGGGCACACGGCGTGTGGGAGGCGTTACATTAGACCTCCCCCGCGCCCCCCACCCCGCGCAATAATGCCCATTCTCGCCGAAAATACAGAAACGCGCTCCGTTGCGTGGTTCCAGAAATGGCCTCGTCCTCGGTTCCTGGTCTTGCCCCGACCCACCCTCGCGGGCCAGACGGCTTGCCAACCCGCCGCCGGGGTTTCCAGGCCTCTCCGCAGTGGGCGAGGTCGGGGAGGCTGCTCGCGGCTGAGGCTTGCCGTGTCCAGAACAGAATCCCGTCCGTTCCGTTCGGCGCCCCTCGGGGTAGCAAGACGGCTGCAGGCACGACCAAGCAGCACACGGCATCACCCCACCTGGAGCGTGCTTCTTTATTGCTTGGGGCATAATGGGCATGATAGCCCCCGGCCCCCCCCTCCCCTCCTCCCTATATCGCAACGCCCCTCCCCCCCTCAATGCGCTCCGGGCACTGCCGCCGTGCGCATCGCACGGCGGGGGGGAGGCGTTACATCACTAAAATGCCCATTATCGCAGAAAATAAAGAAACCCGCTCCTACGGCACGCCGTGCTGGATGTTTGCGACCTTCTCCTCGCTGTCCTTCGCGTGGTGCCCAGGGCCACCTTGACAGGCGACTCTGGGCTTCGCAGGCCCAGCGCTTCGCGAGCTGTGGCCTCCGTGTCCCGGCGCGCCCTGAGCCCGAGGCTGGCGCGCTGCGCTTGAGGGCCGACGCGGCCTGAGTCGCCCGCCCGCTTCCTCTCCTCCGCGGCCGCCCATTCCTCGTCCAGCCCTCTCCTGCGTGCTAACTCTCGGCTTTGCACCCCATCGTTGCCTTGGACGTCGTCGTCGTCGTCGTCGTCGTCGTCGTCGTCGTCGTCGTCGTCGTGGTTCGTCATCGTCGTCGTTGTCGTCTTCGTCGTCGCCGTCGTCGGGGTTCGTCCGTGCAGCTGGTTCTAGCAAGGAGTCGTCGGGGTTCGTTATCGGCCGTCGCCGTCGCCGTCGCCGTCGCCGTCGCCGTCGCCGTCGCCGTCGCCGTCGCCGTCGCCGTCGCCGTCGCCGTCGTCGTCGTCGTCGTCGTCGTCGTCGTCGTCGTCGTCGTTTTGTCGTCGTCGTCGTCGTCGTCGTCGTCGTCGTCGTCGTCGTCGTCGTCGTCGTCGTCGTCGTTGGCTTGGACGCGCCGCGGGACCGCTGGCGCCGCGACAAAGGGATCTCCGGGCGTGCCCAGGCAGGCGCTGGCATCGTGTCTCGCAGCCGCCGATGCGCCTGCACCCGCGTGCCCTGCACGGCCACTGCGCTGCTGCCCCGGCCGCCCTTCTCCGCCGGGGCTGATGCCACCGCGCCGGCGCCGGCACCGGATCAGGAAGTGCAGGGAGTCGACTACACGTAAGAGTGACCCTTCGCCGGAGTGACCTTTGGTGCGGGCCCATTGGGGTCTCCCGATCGCCGAACGAGATGCAATAGTAGCGTCTTGCGTCCCCCAAAGGCGGCACACCAAAGGTCACTCTTACCCAGGGTCACTCTTGCGTATAGCCGAGGGAGGGCGGCCCTTCCTTCTCTCATCCAGAGTCGTCTTTGTCGCCGCCGCCGCTGTCGCCGTCGGCGCCGTCGTCGCCGTCGTCTCCGTGGCCGTCGGCGTCGGCCTCGCCGTCGCCGTCGCCGTCGCCATCACCGTCAGCACCATCACCGCCGTCGTCGTCGTCGTCGTCGTCGTCGTCGTCGTCGTCGTCGTCGCCGTCGCCGTCGCCGTCGCCGTCGTCGTCGCCATCACCGTCATCACCATCACCGCCGTCGTCGTCGCCGTCGTCGTCGCCGTCGCCGTCGCCGTCGCCGTCGCCGTCGCCGTCGCCGTCGGCGTCGGCGTCGGCGCCGTCGTTCTCGTCGTCCTCGTCGTCGTCGTCGTCCTCGTCGTCGTCGTCGTTCTCGTTTTCGTCGCCGTCGTCTTCCTCGTCTTCGTCGTCCTCGTCCTCGTCGTCGTCGTCCTCGTTTTCGTCGCTTTCGTCGTCCGCCTCGTCGTCGTCGTCCTCCTCGTCCTCGTCGTCCTCGTCGCCGTCGCCGTCCTCGTCCTCCTCGGCCGCGGCGCCGCCGTCCTCTTCGCCCGCGGTCCTCCTCGCCTCTTGGCCCGCGCACGCGCCGCGCGGCCGAGGGCTGTCGCCGCTGGGGGCCTTCGAGATCAGCGAGCTCCTGGAGGGCCTCGAGAAGCGGTGGCCGGCCAGGCACGGGCGGCGGTGCGCGCCCGTCGGCTCTCTACTTTTTTATCGATCGCGAGCGAGGCAGGCAGCTGCGCGCCGTCAAGGCAGGCAGACGACGGGCCAACCTAACGGGGCAGGCGGAAGAGGGCCACAGCGGTGGCGAGAGCTACGCGGCGGAGGAGGAACGAACGAGAGCACACAGAGGGCGAGGCGACGAAGAGCAAGAGGGCGAGAGAGCAAGGACCAGCGAGAACGAGGGCGCACAGGAAGAAGGGCCCGTCGGCCATACGCGCAGGAGTGACCTTTCGCCAGAGATCCCCGGGCACTGCCCTTCAGTCGGGCCAGTCCCTCCACAGGAGGACAGTTTGAAGATAGTCAAAACATAGCCTGGGGACGTTTGCTGTTGTGATCACTTCTTAGTATGTTTGAGCACTTTTTAGGAGTATGTCTTTTTGGGCCGTCCAAAGTCCGCCTGTAGGGGGACACGCCCGCCCTAGCACTGCCCTGCGTTTTTGGACATGGCCCCCGCGCGGCCCCCCCTAAGCCGCACAGGCCACTCTTGCCCAGGGCCACCTTTTGCGTGCGGCCGCGTCTGCCGGCACGGTCGAGTTGGGGAGGGAAACGACGAAGACGAAGGCCAACACGAGCCCCTACTTTTCAGTCGGGCCTGTCCCTCTACAGGAGGAATGTTCCCAAAGAGTCGAAACATAGTCAGGGGACGATTTGAGTGTTTGTGTGTGTGTGTGTGAGACTTTATTTGTTTTTTTTGGTGTGTGTATATGTGTGTGTGTGTGTGTGTGTGTGTGGCTATTTTTGTGTTTTGAGTATCTATTATTTTTCGTCCAAAACCCGCCTGTAGGGGGACATGCCAGACCTAATACTCGCTTTGAACAGGGCTCGCTGTCGGTGTCGCCCGCCCAGTAGTGGCCGCTGTTTTTTGTTGGGCCGCCGCCCTTGCTGTTGGGCGTCGTCCCCCTTCTCACCGTACCCATTTCGGGCGTGCCACGTCCTTGGCCCCCCTCTGGCTGGAAACGGGGCGCCTGTGACGGATGGCTGTCTTGAGCCGAGATTTCTGATCTTCGAGCGTCTCTTCATCTTCATCTTCATCCTCCCGCCACAGAGGGGTGCCTGCGAAGGGCTTTCGTATTAAGCTGATCTTTTCGAGCCTGAAACACATCTGCACCTCCAGTCGCAGATCCCCCAATGAGGCTGAGGTGCTTTGCAAAGGATACCGTGCACCCTGCGTCCTCATTTTGTCTGAGCCAATCGATTTTGCTGGCCAGTTGCTGCATCTTGGACACCTGCGGGCCCTGCATCCTTGCCTGGCATCCGTATGACTGGCCTCGACTGTGCTCCTGTTTTTCTGTCCCCTTCTCCCTCGCTCTCTCTCTCTCTCTCTCTTTTCTCTCTTTATGTATTTCTTGCTTCCATGATTTTCTTGTTTTTTGTTCTCTCTCTCGCTCTCGCTCCCTATCTCCCTCCTTTTCGCTGTCCCCGCTTCCTCTATTGCGAATGCCTTACTGCCGGCGCCGCCGACCCTCAAGGAGGACAACGGCGACGGCGACAAAGACGACGAGAAGGCGAGGACGCGAAACACGTAGAACAGCTTAATGAACGTCAAGGATTTTCGCCTCTTGGGGCCCTCTTGGGCTCCTCTTGGAGCCCTCTTGAGGGTTCCTGAGGTCGTCTTGAGGGTATCTCGGCCTGTCTTGGAGGGATTTGGGGCTGTTTCAGGGCTCTCTTGGAGCAAGCCGCGGTACAAGTAAGCTCGATGCGTCTCGGAGGCAAGAAATAGAAGTGGAAAGCTTCTCCCAGGGAGGTGTGCTCTTTCCTGGGCGGGTCACAACCTCGGGATCCCCCCACTTGCCCCCCCCCCCGGCAGGTGAGGGATCAATGGGAAGGGACTCCCTTTCGTTCCCTCTCCCGGGAGGGTGCCCTCGAATGCTCTTCAGTTTGAGCCGGCGGAGGGTCTTGTGTTCTTGAGGGCAGTCTTTCTGTCCTGGGTCCGGTCGTATCCTCGCCTGATTTTATCCTCGTCCCGGCTTCGTCTTGGACGCCCCCAGGGGGCGCGTTGTGGCCTGGGCCCGGGGGGCTGCCCTCCGCCGAGTTCCCTTGCGAGGGCGCGAGAATCACCCTGCGTATCGCACCGCGGTGCTCGGCGCGCGGGGCGAGGTGACCCAGATCGCTGGCCTGCCCTGCACGTCAGGGGACGGCGACGACGACGGCGACGGCGACGACGGCGACGGCGACGGCGACGGCGACGGCGTCGACGGCGGCGACGGCGACGGCGACGACGACGACGACGACGACGACGACGACTGCCGATAACTAACCACGACGGCGACGACTTGCGACGACGATGAGGGGTGACGGCGACGACGAGCGATGTCGACGATTGGTGATGGCGACAACGATGATGACGACGATGACGGTTCACGGTCATTGTCCCCGCGCGCGTACCTTGTGCCAGATCAGCTTGTTCGTCGGGCTAGTGCACAACAATGGCATCCCCAGGGGATGCCGCTCTGGTGCACAGCCCCTTCTCCGCGGCCTTGTGCTGGACCAGCCTGCCTGTGAGGGTGGTGCTCGACATCGTGCCCCCACAGGGCACAGTGACTGTGCCCTGTGGGGGCACGATGTCGAGCACCACAGTCGAATCGGAGCGCGCCGCCGCCGTCGACCGCGGGCTGCCTTCCGCGGGCGCGACCAGGTCGTACAACTGCTTCAGCCGCAACTGCACGGACTTCGCGGCCATACTGGTGGCTGGGCTCAAGGTCGGGGCCGGCGCTTCCGCCTCGCCCCCAGGTGCTCTCCCCGCCCTGCCCGCTGTCCAGACGTGGTCCCTGGGAAGTGTCGGCGCGGTGCATTCGCCGCATGCGTGAGTTGCTTCTGGGCGGAGAGGGCACGCTCATGCCGGGGCTTCGGCACTGCACCGAGAAGCTACACGTGGGACTTTGTTCGTCGGCTGTCCGCGCTTCCCTCCCCGCTCCCCGCTCCCCCTCTCCAGAAGATGCGCCGTGCGGCAAGGGAGGCATCCGGGAAGCATCCGCGCATTCTCGTGGCTCTGGGGCGCGAATGGAATCGCGCTCCGCGCGTCCGCGGCGCTGGCTGGAGAGCCGCCCTTCTCGAGGGGTGCGGGGACGGCGGCGCGAGGGCTCGAGGGTAACTTGGCGTCGCGCACCGCGGGGCGCGATGTTCGAGGGGGTCAGGGACGGCCTGACTGACCACCAGCAATCCATCCCCTTCCGTCACGTCCCCCTCGCATGGCCCCAAGGCGTATGTGTGCGGCTGGAGGGGAGCTCGGATTCGAAGAAGAAACAACCACCATGCGCTCCGTGCGGATTTCTTGGATCCGCGTTGGGCCCCCCTTGGCGGCGCCTCCGACTCCGCTCCTGGCGCGCTCCGCGCGCCAGGGAGGGGGGCTCAGCGCAGATCCAAGAAGTCCGCGCGGAGCGCCACAAGTTTCTGTTTACGCTTTTTGTTTGTTTGTTTGTTTCGTTTTTGTTTTTTGTTATATATATATATATATATATATATATATTTTTTTTTTTTTTTTTTGTTTTTGTTTTTTTTTTTTTTTTTTTATTTTTTAAAAAAAAAAAACATAGATTCTTCTGCGAATGGCGTGGAGGACGTCACGGAAGGGGAGGGCTGGCTGGCCACCGCCCACCAGACCACTCCCACCCAGCCCGAAGGCCCCGATTTGCCCTCGGTTTCCAGTGGGGGAGGGGGGTCGGGGAACACATGAAAAAACACATATGGGGCGTTCCAAAAATGCCTTGCCTTCGAGGATCGAAGGAGTTGTTATCCTTTCCGTGGCGGAAGGCGGCGGAAGGGTGGCGGAAGGTCGGCGGAAGTCAAACATGCGCTCCCAAGAGATATAAAAGCTTTTGGGTTCAGGGCTTCCGAAAAACCGCCCATATGAAGCCCGTACCCCCCGAATCCTGAATTCGGGTCTTCGGGTTGGGTTTGGCTGGTCTGGTAGGTGCACTTAGGTTCGTGTCGTGTCGACTGGCGGCGACCCCGCCAGCGGCGTTCGACGTCGAACGCCGCGGGCGACCCAGAATCCGTTCAAGGTGGAACGATTGGGACGCTTCGGCAACGGCCGATCGTTCAAGGTTGAACGATCCCCGCGGCGTCAGAAACCAACGCCGGGGTCGACCTGCCGTAGGTTGAGGTCGGGCATGTCCCCCTACAGCCGGATTTTGGGCGAAAAATAAAAAATCCACCAAACATGTTCAATAATGGTCACATAGTAGAAGAAATATCTTCCCCAGACTACTTTTTGAAACTATTGTGAAGGCCTTACGGCCGGTGCCGCCGACCCTGAAGGTATTGGCCGTCGATGGCGATGGGATGTGTGATCACAGGAAGGAGCTAAAGGACAACAAGGATCTAAAGGACAACGTGACAGGTAGGCGGAGGATGTGGTGTGGAGGAGGAGGAGGGAGGAGGAGGAGGAGGAGGAGGAGAGGAGGAGGAGGAGGAGGAAGGGAGGAGAGCAGGAAGGAGAGGATGAGAGGAGGAGGAGGAGGAGGAGGGGAGAGGAGGAGGAGGAGGGGGAGGTAGAGGAGGACGAGGAGGAAGGAGGAGGGGGATACAAAACGAAGAGGGAGAGGAGAAGGTGCAAGGAACGCTCAGGAGAGGAGGAGGGAGGAGGAAGGGCGCGTGAGGAGGAGGAGAGGAGGAGGCGGCAGGAGGAGAGGAAGGAGAGAGGGCGCGGGGGGGTGAGCGGAAGGGGGCGGGAGTGGGGGGGGGAGGGGGGGCGGGGAGGCGGCGGCGCGGTAGGGGAGAGAGGATGTCGCTCCTGCATCGGCCCCCCCCCCCACCACGGAACGCCCCACTGACCCCACCCGGGACCCCCCCCCAGGCCCAGAACCCCCCCCCCCGGGCTTTTCCTCCCCCGGGAACCCCCCCAAGGAGGAGGGAGGTGGTATTCTGACTTGGGACCCCCCACGGAGCGGCACTCGGCGTCCCCGTCGTGTAGGAGGGAGGGAGGGAGGGAGGGAGGGAGGGAGGGGGGAGGGAGAACAGGGAGAAAAGAGGGAATGAAAGGAGGAGGGCCAGGGATGATCATGAGGAGGGGGAGGGGGAGGAGGAGGGGAGAGGGACTCAGACCTCCGACTTGCTTTCGCTGCAATGTTTTTCACATCGTGGACCCCAGCATTTTTGGACCATTCTGGACCCCTTCCCCAGGACTGGTTTTCCATCCTGTACGGTGGGGGCGTTCGTTAAGGAATGCGCCCAGTCCTCATCTAGTGAGGGCGGCGGTGATATCCATGGCCAATGCACGATTGGAGTTCCACCAGCTTCCAGACCCTGGGTTCCTTACCCAGTTGTTCCTCATCCAATGCCCTCACCGTAATTGATTGACAGGCTCAGGGGTGGCCACCCCAGGGGCCGAACATTGTCAACAACGGCTCGTTGCGAACGCCTCCGCAACGGGAGGAGGTGTGGGGAGGGGGGGGGGGTAGCCCTGGGGCGAGGAGCAGTGCCGCCATCCTCCCGCCCTCGCGCCAGGCCCTCGCCTTCCCGGGCCCAGCCCCACTGGCCCCGTGCCGCGGAGAGGAGGGCCTGACGTGGCCGATGGAACGCCGGCGTGGCCGAAGGCGCTCGGGCGAACGACGGGCCCCGCTTCTCCGTGCCGCATCGGCGCGCTCCGCCTCCAAATCGGGCGGCACTGGTCTGATGTTGGCGGAGCGCCTTCCCCCGATCTGGGGGTCTGGTGCCCACGCGCACTATCCACTGATCCCCGACCCATGCTAGCCTGCGCCTGACAGGGGCCCGAGCCCGGGCATGTGCGGCCGATGCCAGGTCGCCCCTTGTGCGTACTCCGGCGGGCCCGCCCGAGAGAGGACACTGCCTGGGGGCAGGGACGGCCACGCCGCGCGGCAGGGGCTGGCGATGAAACCAAAGAAGTCTCTCCAAGAAGAGACTGGTCTGACTTTTGGTGGGGAGGCGGGGGGGAGAAGGCGGACGGGGCCAGGACGAGGACAAATCCACTCCAGAGCCTTCCAGAAGGCCCTCAGGGCGTTCCGGAACGCTCCGCGCGGGCCGCGGCGCCCGAGACCTCCTGCGGAGCCGCGGGATCTCGGAGATCCTCGATCTCTCTTCACCCGAACTTCTCCTCGTCCTGGCTTTAAGCCGGGCCTGTCCCTCTACAGGGGGAAGATTCAAAATAGTTTAAAAAATAGTCTGGGGACTATTTTGTGAGCACGTTTTTTGACCATTCTGGAATATGTTTTGAATCTTTTTTTCGTCGGAAATCCCCCTCTTGGGGGACAGGCCCGACATGAGCTTTGTCTTTGGGCCCCCCCCCGGAGCGAGCGAGGTCCCGGAGCCCTTCCCCGCCTGGGTCCACGGCATCGCCAAGCGCCTCGTGGCGGCGGGGCCGGCGGGGCCGTCCGCCCCGCCCGCCGGCGCGGGGCTCTGCCCGGGGTGCTGCCCGGCGCCCGGCGTGAGCACGGCGGAGGCGCCCCCGCCGCGCGCGGGGCCCCCAGGCCTCCCAAGCATCGGGCGGGGCGAGGACGAGGATGACTCCTCCTGCTCCTCCTCCTCCTCCTCCTCCTCCTCCCTCCCTCCTTCCCTCCCCTCCTCCTCCTCCTCCTCCTCCTCATCCTCCTCCTCCTCCTCTTCGGACGAGGACGAGGACGAGGATAAATCCGTTCCAGAGCGTTCCGGAGCGCTCCCAGAGCGTTCTGGAACGCTCCGAGAAGGCCGCGGCGCCCGAGACATCCTCCAGAGCCGCCGGATCCCAGAGATTCTCGATTTTTATCCTCACCCGAAGTTGTCCTCGTCCTGGCGCTTCGTCTTAAAGCTCAGTCGGAGGAGGAAAATCCGAGGCGGGGATTTATCCATAACCATCGCCTGGGGGATCGATCTTTGGGGACCTCGGCAGGCGGTGGGTATGGATCTATGATCCAGAGTCCCGCCCCCCCCCCACCCTCATGCTGCTGCCATCGGCCCCCCCCCCCCCCTGGTGGCGTGGCGTGGTGGGGTCTTCCCCTGTGGGCGTCGGGTGGTGGGAGGAGGGAGGGAGAAGGAAAGCAACATCGCCGCCGACGGTGTCTTCCCCGTCGTCGCATCCCTCTGGGTGTGGCGCGGTGTTGCAGACTTCAGGGAGCCAGAGCGGACTGTGGGACGGTGTCTTCCTCGTCGTCGTCGTCGTCGTTGTCGTCGTGGTCGTCGTCGTGGTCGTTGTCGTGGTCTTCGTAATCGTCCTTCGTCTTCGTCGTCGTCGTCGGCGTGGTCGTCGTCGTGGTCGTCGTCGCCGTCGCCGTCGCCGTCGCCGTCGCCGTCACCGTGGCCGTCGCCGTCGCCGTCGTCGTCGCCGTCGCCGTCGCCGTCGCTGTCGACGTCGTCGTCGTCGCCGTCGCCGTCGTCCTCGTCGTCGTCGTCGTCGTATCTGTCGCCGTCATCGTCGTCGTCGCCGTCGTCGTCGCCGTCGCCGTCGTCGTCGCCGTCGTCGTCGTCACCGTCGTCGTCGCCGTCGCCTTCGCCGTCGCCGTCGCCGTCACCGTCGCAATCGACGTCGCCGTCGCAGTCGTCGTCGTCCTCGTCGTCGTCGTCGCCGTCGCCATCGCCGTCGCCGTCGCCGTCGTCGTCGCCGGCGCCGTCGCCGTCGCCGTCGCCGTCGCCGTCGCCGTCGCCGTCGCCGTCGCCGTCGTCGTCGTCGTCGTCGTATCTGTCGCCGTCGCCGACGCCGTCGTCGTCGTCGTCGTCGTCGTCGTCGTCGTCGTCGTCGTCGTCGTCATCGTCGTCGTCACCGTCGCCGTCCCCTTTGCCGCCGTCGTCGTCGTCGTCGCCGACGCCGTCGCTGTCGCCGTCGCCTTCGCCGTCGCCGTCGCCCTCCCTGTCGCTGTCGCTGTCGCCGTCGCCGCCGTCGTCGTCGTCGTCGCCGTCGTCGTCGCCGTCGCCGTTGCCGTCGCCGTCGCCGTTTCCGTCGCCGTCGCCGTCGCCGTCGCCGTCGCCGTCGCCGTCGCCGTTGCGTCGTTGATCTTCGACCCGGGAATGGTACGGTGCATCGCTTTTCGGCCGAATGGTACGGTGAATCGTTTTCCGGCCCCCAGAGCCGAACAAACTACTGCGCCGATCCGAAAGTTCCCTCAATTTCGCCACCGTGCTCGCCGCGGCCATCTGGGGTGGCGCGCGCAGGATAAGACTCGCGGGGCCCGAGGGCGGTTGGGGGCGATGTCGCGAGGGCAGAGTCGGCGCGCCGATGGGCAGCCCACTGCCCCCCAAAAATTTCGGGTCCGGGTCGAACGACCTGAAAATGCGCAAACCGCCCAGGACTCCTTGCAAAAGCATCGTTCTCGAGGTCTTCGGGCCCACCCCGAAGACACCGAACATGGGCAAACCGCTTCGAATTTCCTATCAGAAACGGTTTCTCGGTGGTTCCGGGCCTCGTCCGAAGGAGCCGCCGATGGGCAGACCGCTAAAGACTTCCTGCACAAGGAACGGCCCCCCCGGTGAGCCATTGTCAACGGGAACGCGCCCCGCGCGGGATCGGGGTTCGCACGGGGGCGCGGCTGCTCTCGCCTTTCCAGGGGGCATGCATTGCCGCGCCCTTCCAGCCTAGCGTTTGCGCTGCATTCGCGCGGTGCCGTGCCTCTCAAGTCGGAATAAACTTTCGGAGCGCCGATGTGTGCACCGTACCGCGTTGGAGCGGGGTCTGAACGGAGTCCAGACATGGTACGGTGCATGGGCGCCGTTCTCAGGAGCGGCTTGCGTTCGACCGCCGCAGACCTCGTCCTCGCGTCGCGGCAAGGGCCGTGGCGGGCGGCTCTGGGCCTCGTTCGGCCTCCGGGGGCGTTCGCGGTGACCCTGGGGCCGTTAGAAAACGGATCGGAATGGAAAGCAGGTCCCAGGGAAGGGGCCCAGACCTTTGGGTTTAGGTCGGGCATGTCCTCCTACAGGCGGATCTTTGACGAAACATGCAAAATCATGAACCAAAACTCCAAATACATGCAAACATCGTCAAAATTCGTCCCCATACTATGGCTGGACTATGTTTAAATATTCCTCCTGTAGAGGGACACGCCCGACTTAACTCTGGGTGTCCACGTGAGAAATAATTGCGGCGTCGGGGGTTTGCGTTTGTTTCTCGCCCTGTCCGGCCCCTCCCACGTGCACCCCCTCGCAGTTCTGCCGGAAGATCGCCTGCCAGGCCAAGGTCCTTTCCGCCTCCTCGCCCTCGTCGTCTTTCTCTACCACTGGCTCTGCCCACACTCGGTATCGTTTAACCTTTCTCCATCCCATCCCCATCCCCTTCGAGACCCCCACCAAATTACCCCCGCCCAGTTGGGGATGCACCCCTGGAAACCCGAAGGATCCGGCCTATATCCCCATCTAGGGGGGTAAATCGGCCTGTGGGCCCAGGCCACGCCGCTGGGGATGGGGATCGACTGAAAGATACTCACACACGACTCGGGACGCATTTTTGTTCCCTGGTGGGGCCTGGAGGCCGAGTGTGAACGTGATCTGGCACACAGTTGCAGTCATGTCAAATATCACGCCGCCTGGCCAGCATTTCGTTCTGCGTTGGCCCGCTCTCGAGCGGCCACGCTCGCAAGGCATCTAGCCTGTCATTGGTAGTGGGTGGCCAGAGAGGCGCAGGAGGGACACGGGAGGCGGCCGACGCAGCAAAATAAACAACAATTGAAGCATCACTACGCCGAGTTGGCCCCAAACTGCCACGTGACTCGTAGCGTGGATCCAATCCCTGCCTGATTCGCTGCAGAGGGTAGTGGCCGTGATGGCTGGTTGTAGGAGCACGCGGATTGTGCAGGTTGTTGCACCTTCTGGGCGTAGGCTCCGCGGTGCAGACAGAAGGCAAGAGTCGCGTTTAAGTACGAGCGTCGCGTGGGTGGTCTACGACTTCGCCTCCGCGGCATCTGCGGCACACTTCCACTGCCCGTGAGACCCTGCAAGGTTCGGCAGGCGGCTCACCAAGCATACGATGCCCGTATGATTGACTCAAGCTACTCCTTGACGAGGTGAGGCGCCCATAGGGGTCGCCAGGCTCATGCAGAACCCCAGTGTCTGCGTTATGTGTGGGTTCGAGGGCTGCCGAGATCATGGAGTAGCCTTTGGACGGGAGCTGATAGTTAGCACTGGGAGAAAGCGCAGGGGGATGAGGAGGAGAATGACCAGTGTGAACCTAAAGCTCATCAACGATGTTGTAATACACAATCCCTACAAGTTCCCTCTTTATAAGTTTGCATACATAATACTTGTTCATTGCGGAAGACCACCGTTGGAAGACAACCGTTTGAACACGTTCAACCATGCCAAAGTACCGTTCGTAGGACGTCAACGCCGTGAACCCAGACTTCTGCGAGCTGCCGACCCTAAATCGTGTCAGGACACCGTTTATCGGATGTAAACACGGTGAATCAATGTGACTGTCGCGCCTTGACATTCCTAAGTCGTGCCGAAACACAACTTCTGGGACGTCAGTCGTACAAATTCTTGAAATTCTTTTCCATTTGTAAGACTAGTTCGCACAGCGCTGAGGCGGGAGCTACATTTTGAAAACCACCCGCCGTCCATCTGTGAGCTCTTGCAAACTTTCATGTCGAATGTGCCCGGCGCTGGGGCGAGAGCCTCATTGTGAAACCCACCCGCACTCCATTTGTGGAACTCATGCGAACTTGAAGACGAATGTGCGCGGCGTTAAGGCGAGAGTCACATTCTGAAAACCACCCGCCCTCTATCCGTGAAGCTGTTGCAAATTACACGCTCCAGCAGGATCATGAAGGGTGAGGAAGTCTCAGGCGAAAGGCCTAGACCGCCCTGGCGACCCGTTTCGGGGTGCGACAGGGACGATGTAGGAGGAGGAGGAGGAGGAGGAGGAGGAGGAGGAGTGAAGGAGGAGGGGAGGAGGAGGAGAAAAGAAGAGGGAGGGGAGGTGGAAAGGAGGAGGGAGGAGGAGGAGGAGGAGGAGGAGGAGAGGAGGAGAGGAGGGGGAGGAGGAGCGTTCGAGCAGATGAGGTGAGGGGTGGTGAAAGCAGGAATCCCGAATACCGCGGAGAAAAGGGTGGCGGAAGAAGAGCACGAGCGGCATGGGGGAAGCTGGCACGCAACTCTCCCGATGAGTATCGGTGGCGCGCCCGGGGGGCAAGGCAGAGGGGGCGCGCATTTTCAGGTCCGATCCTTGTCCTCCTCCCCCTCCCCCTCCTCCTCCTCCTCCTCCTCCTCCGCCTCCTCCTCCTCCTCCTCCTCCTCCTCCTCCTCCTCTCCGCCCTCCGCCGCCTCTCCTCCCCTCCTCCTCCTCCTCCTCCTCCTCCTCCTCCTCCTCTCCTCCTCCCCTCCCTCCTCCTCCTCCTCCCTCCCCCCTCTCCTCCTCATCCTCCTCCTCTCATCCTCCTCCTCCTCCATCTCCGCCTCCTCTCCTTCTCTCCTCCTCCTCACTCTTCTCCTCCTCCTCCTCCTCCTCCTCCTCCTCCTCCCTCCTCCTCTCCCTCCCTCCTCTTCCTCCTCCTCCTCCTCTCCCTCCTCATCCTCCTCCTCCTCCATCTCCTTCCTCCTCCGCTCCTCCTCCCTCCTCCTCCTCCTCCTCCTCCTCCTCCTCCTCCTCCTCCTCCCCTCCCCTCCCTCCTCCTCCTCCTCCTCTCTCCCCTCCTCCTCCTCCTCCTCCTCCTCCTCCTCCTCCTCTTCCCCTCCCTCCTCCTCCTCCTCCTCCTCCTCCTCCTCCTCCCTCCCTCCTCTTCTCCTCCTCCTCCTCCTCCTCCTCCTCCCTCCTCCTCCTCCTCCTCCTCCTCCTCCTCCTCCTCCTCCTCCTCCTCCTCCTCCTCCTCCTCCTCCTCCTCCTCCTCCTCCTCCTCCTCCCCCCGGCCTTCTGAGACCCTTTTTGAGCCTTCTCCGCAGCCGCAGGGGACTTCTCAGATGTCTGCAGGGCTTGAAAGGAGCCCCGCCGCGGCCCGAGGAGGCCTGCCCCCTCTCGCTTCTCCCCGCGGCGCACCAGGCGACGCTTGCACGCAAATCTCCCGATGAGTGAGTGCTGGTGGGTTTGGCCTTGACACGTGCGTGACCGGGCGTTTGGGCCTGCTTTGTGGCCTGCGCGGGGCCGCTGGGCGCCGTCACGCTGGGGTCTCGGGGTCGTTCTGGAGGGTCTTGGGGCCGCGTGTGTGCCTTCGGGTCGTCTTGGGGCGAGTTTGGGCCGTCTTGAATGACTTCTTGAGCATGTTAGGATGCCAGCTGGGCGCCTATGGGGCCATCTGGGCCTGTGTTAAGATCAGCTTCGGAGCCTGGTGGGTTGCCTAGGGGCCTTATGAATACTATCCGGAGCTTCTCAGAGGTGTCACGACGCGAGGAACCGAGATGGCAAAAACACAGTGAGCTGTTTTTAGTATTTCGGATTGTCGTGGGCGTATCGGAACCCTTCTGGAACTGTCTTGGAAGGCATATCTGGGCAGCCTGGAGGCGCCGGAGCATCGATTTGGAGGCAGTGAAAGCCCCGAAGATGCGTTGAAGGGTTCCTGAGGCCCGCCCCCCCCTCAAATAGGACTTTTTGTCCCTGGAGGAGGCTGGGGCAGTGTTCGGTGGGCCTGGGCGGTGTTCAGTGGCTGGCGGCGCGGTTTGGCGCTCCCTAGATTTAAGTCGGGCCTGTCCCCCAACAGGGAGATTTTCGAGGAACAATAAATTAGCCTGGCGAAGGACCCAACCATATGCAGTTGTGAATACCGCAATTGTGAATACCATCTTCGCCCGCGCTCCCTATGTGGCCACGGCCCCCCGCCGGAGCCCGACATGCTCAGGGACACGTTCGTGGCCGTCTTCGCGGGCGCCGACGACGACAAGAACTGCGTCCCTTTCACCGAGGAACAAAAGCAGGAGAGGGCCCTTGAGAGCCATGAGGGAGGAGGTGGCGTTGCACGTCGACAAGGCGGAGTACGACGCCCAGGCGCGGTTGTTGAAGCAGCACAACTATGGGGCCACGATCCTCGTGAGGGATGTGACGCAGTGGCCCGGGGCCGCCATGCGAACCCTGCCACTGGTGCCTTCGGTGGAGCTCCCTATGGGGCCACGATCCTCGTGAGGGGTGCGCCAAAATGGGGCGGGGCCGCCATGCGAACGCTGCCACTGGGGCCTTCGGTGGAGCTCCCTATGGGGCCACGATCCTCGCGAGGGGTGCGCCAAAATGGGGCGGGGCCACCATGCGAACGCTGCCATTGGGGCCTTCGGTGGAGCTCCGTATGGGGCCACGATCCTCGTGAGGGGTGCGCCAAAATGGGGCGGGGCCGCCATGCGAACGCTGCCACTGGGGCCTTCGGTGGAGTTCCCTACGGGGCCACGTGATGGGTGTGCCGACATGGGGCGGGGCCGCCGTGCGAACGCTGCCACTGGGGCCTTCGGTGGAGCTCCCTATGGGGCCACGATCCTCGTGGGGGGTGTGCCAAAATGAGGCGGGGCCGCCATGCGAACGCTGCCACTGGTGCCTTCGGTGGAGCTCCCTATGGGGCCACGATCCTCGTGAAGAGGTGTGCCGAAATGGGGCGGGGCCGCCATGCGAACGCTGCCGCTGGGGCCTTCGGTGGAGCTCCCTATGGGGCCACGATCCTCGTGAGGGGTGTGCCGAAATGGGGCGGGGCCGCCATGCGAACGCTGCCACTGGGGCCTTCGGTGGAGCTCCGTATGGGGCCGCGATCCTCGTGAGAGGTGTGCCGAAATGGGGCGGGGCCGCCGTGCGATCGCTGCCGCTGGGGCCTTCGGTGGAGCTCCCTGTGGGGCCACGAAGCGCTGTATTGGGTGGGTGAAACGCAGGGGGGAGGGGGGAGGAAGGGGGAGGAGGAGAGAAGAGGAGGAGGAGGAACGCGGGGCGACGTCTCTTCAAAACGAGGACCCAACACCACAGGATGGTTGGGAAAAACAGAAAAATACACCAAAAAGGCAAAACATACGCAAAAAAATGATCTCCAGATTACTTTTGCACTACTTTTTGATCATTTTTGAACTATTTTGTAGTTTTCGTCAAAAATCACCATGTAGGGGGACAGGCCCGACTTAACCCTAGATGCGCCCCAGGGGGGTGCATGCCAGGCTGCCTCATTGGAGCGCCGGCGCGGCCCCTCCCCGTCGAGGATGGGGCGGCGGCGGCAGGCTGCTGTCAGGAGGGCTCTCCTGGGGGCTTCTTGTGGGCCGCCTCGGGGCTCTTTGGGGGCCCCTGGGGGCGCCCTCGAGTGTCTCCCGCCTCCACACACGTGGGGCCCGAAGGGATGGGGTCGGAGGATCGCGCCTCATCACCGATGCATCGGCGATGCGGCTCGATGTGGTGACCGATCTTGCCCACGCTGACGGCGCCGATGCATCGCCGATGTCGCCGACGCATTGCCGACGCATCTTTGATGAATCGGCGATGCAACGCGATTCTCCGACCCCATCTGCCCAGGCCCCATTTGTGACGCCTCCAGTGTCGGCGTCCCGAACAGGGCGAGAACACGAAGCTCATGGAAGAGCAGGAGCGGAGTCCACGAGTGTGGCCTCTGCGGGCCCTCCCGGAGTGGCCCCCGCAGGGCCCTGTGCGCCCCCGTCCCCCTTCCGAGGGAGGGAGGGGGTGCTGCAAGGGTTGGGGGGGGGAAGGTGATGGCAGAGGAGGAGCAGACTCCCCGTCCTCCCTCCTCCTCGTCCTCCTCCTCTCGCTCCCCCCAGCGAGGCCGCAGGTTGTAGCCCCGCGGCTGCTCGAAGATGCTTCCATGCCTTTCCAGCTGAAGCAGCAAGGGCTACCGCACAGGAACCGATGCTCAGGATCGCCATCGCCCTGTTTTGTTTTCTTCCTCCTTTCGCATCTCTCTGGCAGTTGTGACTCTCTTTTAGGGGGCCACATGCGAAGTGAAGTGAACCCCACCTCCCCCCCTCGGAAATCGTGGGGGGCAGGGTTAGGGGTCGCATGTGGCCCCCCATCCTTGGCACTGCCCGACCTCCGCTTCTCGCTCGCTCGCCCGCAGGTGCTGCCAGAGGAGGAGATCGCGCTGCCCATGGCACCCCACGGCGTGCCCGAGGCCGAGGACCGCCTCCCCCCCGCCCCCCCGCCCGCAGACGTGGAGGAGGGAGGGAAGGAGGAGGCTGCTGCTGCTGATGATGCTGATGATGCTGATGATGCTGATGCTGATGCTGACGTTGTTGATGCTGATGCTGATGCTGCTGCTGCTGATGATGCTTATGCTGCTGCGGCTGATGATGATGATGATGATGATGATGATGATGATGATGATGATGATGATGCTGATGCTGATGCTGATGCTGATGCTGATGATGATGATGATGATTATGATGATGATGATGCAGATGCTGATGCTTATGCTGACGTTGTTGATGCTGATGCTGATGCTCTGCTGCTGTTGATGCTGCTGCTGATGATGCTGCTGCTGCTGCTGCTGCTGATGATGATGATGATGATGATGATGATGATGATGATGATGATGATGACGTTGTTGATGCTGATGCTGATGCTGTTGATGCTGCTGATGATGATGATGCGTATGCTGATGCTGACGTTGTTGATTCTGATGCTGACGTTGCTGGTGCTGCTGCTGATGATGACCAGGGGGAGGGAGGAACATGATATTTCCTGGAGGCCCTCTTGGGGGCCTCTTGGGCCGTCTTGGGCCAGCTTCGAGCCAACTTCGGCCATCTTGGTGGGTTCCTGGCACGTCTGACGCCGTCGGGAGCCGTCTTGGGGGCCTTTCTGGGCCCTCTTGGAGCGCTTCTGGGCCGTCTTGGAGGCCATCTTGGGCGTCTTGGAGGCCATCTTGGGCGTGTTGGAGGCCTCTTGGGCCGTCTTGGGCCCCTCTTGGGGCCGTCTTGGAGGCCACTTGGGCCATCATGGGGCCCTCTTGGGGGCCCTTTGGGCGATCTTGGGGCGATCTTGGGAGCCTCTTGGGCAGTCATGGGCCGTCGGAAAGCCGAAAAGGCGCAAATCTCAAAAACCAATGGAAAATCAATGATTTTGGCCTCGTCGGGTCTTGGGGGCCTTTCTGGGCCGACTTGGGGCCCTCTTGGGGCGCTTCGGAGCCGTCTTGGAGGCCATCTTGGGCGTCTTGGAGGCCATCTTGGGCGTGTTGGAGGCCTCTTGGGCCGTCTTGGGGCCGTCTTGGGGGCAACTTGGGCCGTCGTGGGGCCATTTGGGGGGCCTCTTGGGCGATCTTGGGGGCCTCTTGGGCCGTCTTGGGCCGTCGGAAAACCGAAAAGGTGCAAATGCCATAATCCTTCAACAACCTAAGGAACATCAATGATTTTGGCCCTTTCGGGCCTTCCTGGAGGACGTCTTGGAGGGCTCTTGGGCCGTGCCACCAAGAGGCCAAAAACATGGATTTCCTATGGGAAAATGTATTTTGTTTGGCATGCACGGCTTTTAGGCTTGCACTGCGTTGAAGATGCTCCAAGAGGCCCCCAAGACCGCCCCAAGACGGCCCAGGAGGCTCCCAAGAGGCCCCCCAAACGGCCCAAGAGGGCGCCAAGACGGCCCAAGAGGCGCCCAAGACGGCCCAAGAGGGCCCCAAGACGGCCCCAAGAGGGGGACCCCGAACCGAAAAGACTAGCCCTTCGCAGAGCCCCCCAAGAAGCCCCAAGAGGCCCCCAACAGGTTCCCAAGAGGCCTCCAAAAGGGCTCCAAAAGGGCCCCAATAGCACCCCCAAGAAGGCCCAGGTACGCCAAATAGAGAGCGATCGGTAACGCAAAAAGCTCTTCACACCAAGGCTCAAAAGAGCGAACGGTGACGTAAACAAGCTGATAAGACCAAGGCTGCCAGCAGAGAGCGGTGACGTAACAAGTTCCTGACACCAAGGCCCAGCCAAGGCTCAGGAACGGGCGGCAACGCAACCATCTCTGAACACCAAGGCTCCCAAGAGCGAGGTGTGACATAACAAGCTCTCAACGCCAATGCTCCCGGTACGAACGGTGGTGTGAGTAATTTCGGTTTCTGTTTCTGACGCGCTCTTTCCGTTTCTGTGCCGGGCCAGGTAATGGAAAGAGCGAAATACGAGCGATGACGTTGTGTGTTGGGCGAAGCCCCTTAAGGGGGGTTCCAGGGGGGGGCGTAGCGCGAGCGTTTGAGTTCTATGGCCGTTTTTTTTTTTTTCCTTCGGGTTTTTGCATGTTTTTCGGATTCTCCCTCAAGACGGCCCAGGAGCGCTCCAAGAGAGCCCAAGACCGCCCAAGACGGCCCAAGAGTCCCCCAAGAGGCCCCCAAGAGGCGCCTAAGGGGCGTCCCAAGAGGGCCCCAATAGGCCAAAATCATCGAGTTCCATAGGAAAACGTACATTTTTAGCATCTTCGGCTTTTAAGACGGCCCAAGTGGCTCCCAAGAGGCCTCCAAAACGGCCCAAGAGGGCCCCCAGACGGCCCAAGAGGCGCCCAAGACGGCCCAAGAGGGCCCTAAGACGGCCCCAAGAGGGGGACCACGAACCGAAAAGTCTAGCCTTTCGCCCCAAGACGCTCCCGGGAGGCCCACACAGCCCCCCAAGCAGCCCCAAGAGGCCCCCAAGAGGCGTCCCACGAGGCCATCAGGAGGCCAACATCATAGATTTTCTATGGGAAAACGTACCTTTTTAGACTGCACTGCTTTTCGGCTTTCGCGGCGTTGACGACGGTCCAAGAGGCCCCCAAGACCGCCCCAAGACGGCCCAAGAGGCTCCCAAGAGGCCCCCAAAACGGCAAAAGAGGGCGCCAAGACGGCGCAAGAGGCGCCCAAGACGGCCCAAGAGGGCCCCAAGACGGCTCCAAGAGGGGGACCACGAACCCGAAAGTTTAGCCTTTCGCCCCAAGACGCTCCCAGGAGGCCCCCACAGACCCCGAAGAAGCCCCAAGAGGCCCCCAAGAGGCCCCCAAGAGGCCACCAGGAGGGCCCGAAAAGGGCCCCAATAGGACTCCCACGAAGGCCCAGAGGCGCCAAGAGCGATCGGTAACGCAAAAAGCTCTTCACACCAATGCTCAAAAGAGCGAACGGTGACGTAAACAAGCTGATAAGACCAAGGCTGCCAGCAGAGAGCGGTGACGTAACAAGTTCCTGACACCGAGGCCCAGCCAAGGCTCAGGAACGGGCGGCAACGCAACCATCTCTGAACCCCAAGGCTCCCAAGAGCGAGGGGTGACGTCACAAGCTCTCAACACCAAGGCTCCCGGTACAAACGGTGGTGTGAGTAATTTCGGTCTCTGTTTCTGAAGCGTTCTTTCCGTTTCTGTACCGGGCCAGGTGACGGAAAGAGCGAGGTACGAGCGAGTGACGTTGAGTAGGGGGCGAAGTCCTTCTTAGGGGGGGTCCAGGGGGGGTGCGAGGCCCAGACGTATGGTCTAATAGCCCGTTTCCCGGGCGGCTCCCATAGCCCGTTTCTTTCCCAGACGGGCCCAAGACGGCCCAGAGGCCCCAAATATCGTCCCAAGACGGCCCCGCAGGCGCCCCAAACGGGCCCAAAACGGTCCAAGAGGGCCCCCAGACGGGCCCAAGACGGCCCAAGAGGCCCCAAAGATCATCCCAAGACGGCCCCAGAGGCGCCCCAAAGGGGCCCAAGCGGCCCAAGATGGCCCCGAGGGCCCTAAGAGAGCCCAAGAGGGCCCCAACAGGCTCCCCAGCGCGCCCGAAGAGGAGGAGGGGGAGGAGGAGGAGGAGGAGGAGGAGGAGGAGGAGGAGGAGGAGGAGGAGAGGAGGAGGAGGAGGAGGAGGAGGAGGAGGAGGAGGAGGAGGAGGAACGAGGAGCAGGAGGAGGAGGAGGAGGAGGAGGAGGAGGAGGAGGAGCGAGGGGTGACGTAACAAGCTCTCAACGTCACGGCTCCCAGTACGAACGGTGGTGTGAGTAGTTTCGGTTCATGTGTTTGTGGCGCTCTTTCCGTTTCCGTGCCGGCCCAGGTCTAATGGCCTTCGGCTCATCCCGCCACCGTGCCTGGGTTGTGGGTCGTAGGCTTCTTAGGATGTTCGCTGGGATGTCGTGGGAGGCCTCTCGGGCGCCGTTTTGAGGCCTGTTGAGGGCGGTGTGGGGGGATCTTGGCGTTGTCGGGGGGCTTTTTGGGGGCCTTGGGACCTTCTCAGGGCCTCTTGGGGCTCCCTTTGGGCCCTCGAACGTGTTCCCCCTCTTGGGCCCCCTCTTGGGCACTTCTTGGAGCTGTTTTCGGGTTCTCTTGGGCCGTCTTGGGCGCCTCTGGGGCAGTCTTTGAGCCCTCTTGGGCCGTCTTGGAGCCCTTTTGGGGGCCTCTCGGGCCGCCTGGCGGCGGTCTTCGTGGCTTGGGCCGTCATGGAGCGTTGGAATCTCCCTAGAAGCATTGAAATACGACAGGGAAATCAATCATTGTGGCCTCTTGGGGCCCTCTTGGGAAGGCTCTTAGGAGATCTCTCTGGGCGCCTCGAAGGCATCTTGGGCCGTCTTGGGGTCATCTTCGGCGTCTTGGACCGATCGTGCGGCTTTTCGGGGCCCTCTTGTACAGCCTGGGGAGCCTCTTGGGGCGGTCTTTGCCCGTCTTGGCGTCCTCTTGGGCCCGAACCTGTCCTCCTCCCCCTCCTCCCCCTCCTCCTCCCCCTCCTCCTCCTCCTCCTCCTCCTCCTCCTCCTCCTCCTCCTCCCCCTCCCCCCCTACTTCTTCTCCTGGCACCGCCTCCAGGCGGCCAGGGGTCGAGGCCGCTCCCGGGCCCCCCTACACACGGGGTGGGCTCCCCGGATCGCCGAGCGAGATGCGATAGCAGCGGCTTCCGCGCTTGGGCTTGCCCTCCCGCCCCCGAAAGCCGCTCACCAAGGGCCACCCCGGCTCAGGGCCACTCTTGCGTGCAGCCGAGCGCCGCTCAGCCCTGAACGCATTGCCAGCAGGCACCCGCAAGCACGTGCGCCGCCACCAGGCGGCCCAGAGCAGGAGCGGGCCGGGCCGCGCTGCTGACGGAGAGGGGAGGAGGATCCTTGAGCTTCTCCTGCCGACCCGCTATCAGCTTGCGGGGCACGTGTGTGCTGCAGGGGCTGCCGCCTGCCGAGGTCCCCGGATATCGATCCCCCCCCCCCCACCCCGAAGCCTCCAAGATAGCCCGAAC